ACCGAATCAAGTGGGAATGCGTAGGATCTGCAGTGAATCGGGGCCGGAAGGGATTAAAACAGGAGAAGAAAATGTGGCCGAAATGATGCAATTTAACAAAAGGCAATACAGTAAAGTCCAGTATTTCTCCAAGGCTTTTTAAGTTTCCCAGTATTGTTTTACGGAGTCTAAATTTAAGCATCTAACTTTTTTTTTTTTTAACCGCAGGAACTAACCTCAGAAAACTCTTTAACTCTTTGCCAGGCAGGATAGTTGGTACACAGCAGAAAACTTTAAAGGAAAGTCATTTTTTGTGTCTCCCTCCCCAACCCCCAGCAGAATAAAACAAACGTTCAGGTCTGTTGCAGGAAGACTGTAGGAAGAAAGTTCCTTCTGGCTCTAATTTTAATGGAGAACATTTTTTCTTTTAATCTGTATTTCTGAAAAATACAGAAACACCAAGCCAGGTGTAAGTGTAAACTTGAGAAAGATGCTCACGGAAGAGACGTTTATTAAAGATACTTTTCTACTTTATTTTCCTAAAGCACTGCATACTTAGGGTTCTAGCATGCACTAAAAAGTTAGCCCTCAAAGTTCCATGTCTGAATGTTACAGATTGTTTTTCTAGGTGGAGGAGGTATTTTCGTTCATGAGGCCAATGTGGAAATACAAACAAATGCCCTATTTACTTGGGATTGGGTGGGAAGGACGGAAGTTGTCTCAAATCTTTCTTGCCAGACTTGACAGCGTATGTATGGAATCTTGTGTATTTTCTTGCCCAGTCCAATAAGAGCCACTTTTAAGTGACTGGATAGGTTCCTTGGTAACGGCGTTTCAAATGAGCTTTTCTTTGAAAATTTTGGACACTAATAATCTAAAAGCAACACGTTTTCTCCATTACTAAAAATCGGGAAGGCAAAATTAGAGTAATATTGGCTAGTAATAATTTAGAGAAGGCTGGAAAGACGAGAGATGCTTTTAAGAAGATTAGAGTGTGTCAGACTCTATGACAGTCCCCCTTTGCCTACTTTGGTGCAGGGGCTGAGTGTTCATTAATTCGTTCAGTGATATTTAGAGACTGACCACGTACACCAGGCTCAGTTCTGAGTTCATTCTTGGGCACACAGACATATCTAGATAACAGCCATATGGCCCAGACTGATTAAAATCAGATCAAGTAAGCCTTCATCAGGAGCTGAAGATACACCTGGCCCTGGTTCCAAAGTTCTCAGACACCTAAGGAGCCTGTAGTTGGCACCCTGTGTTGATTCTAACGATCATCTCAAATAACTAACCCCATGGGGTAGAGTGGAGCCTTGAAGCCTGAAGGGAGAGAGGCGAAAGTCTTGGGTGGAGCAGAGCTAAGAACAGGGGAGCCTCTGGAACAGAAGTTCAGGTGCACCTTATCTCACAGTTGCGGGACAGTCGCCAGGGGCATGGAGGCCATGCAGGGGTAGGTGCCAGGGAATCCTAGGAGCATCCCAGAACTTGAGCTCTTTGCTTCGCCGAAGGGCAGCATTGCATTTCAGTTTCCATTGCCCTTTCTGGTCATGGTGCTGGTGGCTTCCTAGCTGCCTGCGTGCTTTGCGGACGGGCCCTGCCTCTCTGCCTGTGAGACACCGCAGCACGCCCTGCCTTGAGTCGTTGAGTGCATCTGCTGGCCATTGCAGAAAAGCCTCTGTCCACACTGGCACAACAGGATCACTAGAGTAGACTCACTAGTAGTAAGTAGCCTCTGTGGAGAGCCGCAGTGAGGCTGCGCCTCTCAGTAACGCCCTTGTCCCCCTTCTAGACACGCAGCATTAATATTGAAACCTATTTTAAGAAAGTAGGTGCTGGGTTTATAATCCATGCGGTCAGGATTCGTGGTAAAGGAATGTGTAGGGCAGAACATTCCCCCTTGTTGGAGAGAGCGATGATAGCACTTTATGAATGCAGATCTTCAGACTGGATATTTCCAAAGATCCTAGCAGTGTGAAGACTTGAATCTCTTTATTTCCTAAATTGTACTAAATACATATATATTATCAAGTTTATCATTTTAAAGTGTACAAATCGGTGGCATCGAGTACACGCACATTCGATGTGTTTGAGAAGAATGTGTTTTCTTTAATTTGTTTTCTGTAGAGTGGCATGTGGGTGGCTCAGTCGATTAAGCCTCAGACTTTTGATTTTGGCTCAGGTCATGATCTCACGGTTCAGGAGTTTGAGCCTCGTGTCAGGCTCTGTGCTGACAGTGCAGAGCCCGCTTGGGATTGTCTCCGTCTCTCTCTGCCTCTCTCTCTCTCTCTCTCTCTCTCTCTCTCAAAAATAAATAAATAAACATCAAAAAAAATGTTTTCTGTAGAGATCTGCAGATATCCACTGAATGAACCTTATTAATTGAATTATTCCTAACTTTGTGTCCACTTAACATGTCAATAACTGAGAGGGGTACAAGAGGTCCCCGACTTGATGGTTTTTAGACTTGACGATGGTGCAGAAGTGGTACACATTCGGTAGAAACCATACTTAGTATTTGGAATTTGGATCTTGTCCCGGGCTAGCGACCTGTGGTCAGTCCTCCCTCGGATGCTGGGCAGTGAGACCCAGCTCCCAGGCACCCGGCAGCCGAGGACAGACATCCATCCACCGACAACCCTATCCTGCCATCCTGTTCTTTGAGCATAGTGTTCAGTACATTATGTGAGATACTTAGCATTTCATTATCAAGTAGGCTTCGTGTTAGAGGATTTTTGCTCAACTATAGGCTACTATGAGTGTTCTGAGTACTTCTAAGGTAGCCTCGGCAATGTTTGGTAGGTTCCATGTATTAAATGCATTTTCAGCTTAAAATATTTTCAACGCAATATGGGTTCATTGGGATATAATCCTATCATAAGTCGAGGAAGATCTATATCGAAAGATACCACTGTAATGGGGGCTTTGTCAATATCTCCTTGTATATTTTTTAATGTTTATTTTTTGAGAGAGTGAGAGTGTGAGTGGGGGAGGGGCAGAGAGAGGGAGACACAGAATCCGAAGCAGGCTCCAAGCCCCCAGCTGTCTGACGTGAGGCTCGAACCCTTGAACCCACAAACCCCAAGATCATGACCTGAGCCAAAGTTGGATGTTTAACTGACTGAGCCACCCAGGCATCCCTCTATCTCCTTGTATTTTTTTTTAATTTTTTTTAACGTTTATTTATTTTTGAGACAGAGAGAGATAGAGCATGAACGAGGGAGGGTCAGAGAGAGAGGGAGACACAGAATCTGAAACAGGCTCCAGGCTCTGAGCTGTCAGCACAGAGCCCGATGCGGGGTTCGAACCCACGAACTGTGAGATCGTGACCTGAGCTGAAGTCGGACGCTTAGCCGACTGAGCCACCCAGGCGCCCCTCTCCTTGTATTTTAAGCTAGAAAATATTCTGAGGCTTTGTGCCTACTACTTTATATGTTAATATCTAACAATGTGCATTTGTAAGTTTATATTGGTAGACAATACAGTGTCTAATAGGAATTGAACTTTTACTATTACGTAGTTATCTTTACTATTAATGAGGATTTTGCCTTAAAATCTATTTTGCCTGATGTAACATAGCCAGAAGTGATCTTCTCGTTGCTGTTGTGAATATTGGCTTGGTGTATCTTTTCCCATCCCTTTTATTTTCTTTTAAATGCCTTTGCTGAAGTATAACTGACATTCAGTAAACTGCACTTATTTAATGTATGAAAAAAGAAAAAAGTAAATTCACAATGTTGTGCAGCCTTCACCACTATCTAGTTCCAGAACTTTTACATCACCCTGAAAGGAAACCCCATTCCTTTAAGCAGTCCCTCCCCATTTCCTCCCTACTCCAGCCCCTGGCAACCACTAATCTGCTTTCTTTCTTTATGGATTTCCCTGTTCTGGATATTTCATATAAATGGAATCATACAGTATGTGGTCTTTTGTGGCTGGCTTCTTTTACTTAGCAATGCTTTCAAGATTCATCCATGTGATAGCATGCATTGGTACCTCATCCTATTTATTTATTTATTTATTTATTTATTTATTTATTTATTTAAGACACAGAGCGTGAGCAGGGGAGGGGCAGAGAGAGGGGGAGACACAGAATCAGGCTCCAGGCTCTGAGCCATCAGCACAGAGCCTGATGCAGGGCTCGAACCCACAGACCACAAGATCATGACCAGAGCAGAAGCCGGACGCTCAACTGACAGAGCCACTTAGGCGTCCCATACTTCATCCGTTTTTTAAGTGGCTGAATAATATTTCATTGGATAGACCACAATTTGTTGACCCATTTATCAGTTTGTAGACATTTGGATTGTTTCTACCTTTCGGCTGTTGTGAGTAGTGCTGCTATGAACATTTGTTTACTAGTTTTTGTTTGAACACTTGTTTTAACTCTTTGGAGGTCTGCACCTACGAGTGAAATTCCTGAGTAAGATAGTAAT